CCTTCATCGTCAAGAGGGTGCAACCCATGATGCACCCACTGCCTCAGGTCATAGGGCTGACTCCATTCGGCCTCTGGGGTCTTCCTTGTCGACAGCTTATTGCCAACTTCCTTGCTACCTGAGGCGGCGAATCAGCAATGATGACCTGCTCACCACCATTGACAGTCACGGCTAGAGTCTTGTCGAATGTTTCTCTCTCATAGAATCAACCTTGGCCATGGCTCGACGCCGATCGCTTCCCATGGTTGATTCAGAGGATGATAAATTGGCTAAAGCCGAGGCTAGAATCATGGGTGAGATATCATAACCTTTGTTTCCTTTCAATTTCACCTTCAGGATTCTGATCATCTCCCTCTTGAACTCTTTAGATTTGTCCGCCCAACTGGAGAGCCTTCAACTAGCTGCGGAGTACGCAGCAGGATTTGTCAACACCAGAGGTGCCATCCTGATAGTTCGCCTGTATGACATCCCAAATTGCATCAGGGAGGTCGCTCTTCATGGCGTCCATCATGGTGCTGCCACGGCGTTGGCTGCCGCATAGGCTCGTTCTGGCCACAATCTTCGGCTTCTTCCTCACGGTTTTCCGGATGCGGTGCACCCTGGGGATCATGAGCATTTGACTAAGGATTTCCTTAGCGCCGCCAACTCTATGGCTTTCAACACCCTGGCCGATGACATAGTAGGCAAAGTGTTTTCTGGCCCATAACTTGTAATAGGTGGTATTTAGCAAACAATTTCTTCATCTTGAGTGATTTCTCCTTTGTTTTGTACTCCATATTATACGCATCACTCTGTCGGCATAATCGATACGCATTGTACCGGCTTTCACCCCTTCGGGTTTACTTTTCTCGCTAGCACCGATACCCTTCCGGTATCGGCTACCAAAACCGACAACAGAGCAAATTGGTTGTTAAGTATCAATCCAAATGTTAGGGTAATATTCCTACAAATATTTCCCATTTGATTGTTCTGTCGAATTTTCTTTCTCTTCTCAGTATCTCCAAAATACAAGTACTACCAGGCGCATAACATTTGATCCGATAAGGTCCTTCCCAGTTCGGTGACCTTTCGCCAAACCTGCTGTTCCCTGAACTGATCGGTGATTTTATTTTCCAGACTAAGTCTCCTTCAGAAAATTGCTTGATCTTGACCTTTTAATCGTAATATCTTGCAATCCTTAGTTTATTGGCTTCAGTGTTTTTTCAAGAGCATGCAGCCGAAGGCAACTCAAGTCTTTAAAGTCATCCATCACAAAATTTTGGTAGACTTCGGCTTGATAAATCATTTTGCAATGTAACACGCCTTGATCCAGTTTGAACTTCCCAAAGAAAGACTGCATTGTGTCTATACAAAAGTTCATAAGGCGATCATATTATCTCCTCTGCTCTTGGTCATCAAGGGCAACCTATTCTCAGCCTTCCCTAGAGTCTTGTCTCCCTTTTACATTTTTGAAGATCAGGTCCTGGAGATAAAACAGGCTTAGAGGAGTTTGTTTGATCACGAAACTCTTTTGGCCAAGGGGCACCCAAATAGGCGGGAGGCTTAAAGAACCACTACAGTCGACTGATCACATCCGCTTTGGCTAAAGAGCCAATTCTTTTGAAAATAACCGATCCCAGACTCCCGATCTCAATCCCACTTAGGTCTAAAAACACGACTTTTGTTAAGAGAACCCTTTGATCTCCTATCCTCAGTTATATGGCGCCATATTCTCTTTGACATTTGTGGAGTGGCGTTTCACCTTCTATTAATTGCAGTTGCCTTTTGCGCATCCCGAGGCGTCCGCCTCTTCGCTTCATGTCTTCAAATACCAACCGAGGGCTTCGCATCTCTATTCATAATTGTTCCTTCTCTCTCTTCCGCCTGCCAAAACCCTATAGCAGTTTTCTTCCTTTCTTCTGTAGATCCAATCATTTATCATGGTCGGCGAAGATAACCGAGGTAAACGCGCTGCAGAGGAGATCCCGGCAGAGGACTTGCCGAGGAACCAGCATCTCCGATGCATGAGGTGAGATTGGCAATCCCTGCTCATGATGATGACCCGTTCTGATTTGCCTATGGATTCATTGTGAATGACAGTTTTCATCCTTTTCTCCAGGACCGTAAAACCTACTGATGCAGCGTCTTCCGTGCCGGCCTCATCATCAGGTTCTTCCAACTCACATGACGGTGATGATGCCTGGAGCTTCTTCTGAGAATGGAGAGCGAACGAGGACCGCTATTTTGAAGTGATCCGGAATAATGGTCAACTTGAGATCCGTCTAGGGGTCTTCCAAGCGACCCTTAATGCGGCTAAAGAAGAGGCCAGCACCGTTTGAGAGCGACTGGCTAAATCCGATGCCACGGTAGCAGGTAAGACGAGGTCCATGAACGTTTCTATCCTAGTTTACAGTGCCTTTGTCTTGATATTCTTCTGCAATCACCAACCCAAACGGTGCAATTGGAGTCTCTTCAATTAGCGGCGAACGCGGCCACGGACGCCATCAATGCCAGGGGTTCCCTCATTGACGCTCGTCTCCAAGACATCTCGGTCCGTGTCCAGGAGATTGCCCTTCATGGTGTTCATCACGGTGCGTCGGTGGCGCTAACTACGGCGCAGGTCCAAACCAGGCATGATCTCTATACCATGGAGGTTGGCTTCCCGATCAACGATGGCCCTGAGGGACATGAAGATCTAATAGAAGATTTCACCGCGGCGGCAGAGGCCATCGTGGACATCACACCCGCTCAGGATGTGGTGAACAAGGTCTTCAATTAGTTTGTATTTAGGATAAACCGATGAATGAAGACTCTTGTTCCTTTATGATTGTGCTTCAGTGTGACATCCTTGCGTATGACTATTTTTGCTTTTTGTTTTTGCTCTGGAGGCGATACATATCGTATCGGCTTTTACTGTCTTTGAAGATTTTTACTTTTTTGAACTAGAGGCGATAGCCTCCTGGTACCCTGCTATTGGAGCTGAGAACGAATTGGCTATCAAATTCAGATGTTAGGATAACATTTCTTCAAGCATTTTCATTCCAAAGATCAAACGATCGATCAATCCAAGTCAAGCATCCTATTAAGTGAAACAGAACTTCTCTTAATAAATCCATTAACTCTAAATCGCACTTCAACTCAACATTCACATACGTCGGCCTAAACCCATTTCCAAGACTCAATGCTTATTTTTCCTTAACTCAATGGCCGACGTGACGCCATGATTATTGATTAAAACAAACTTTTAGAGCCAATTGCTTGAACCGGCTGTTGGCCTTCATTATTAATCCTAATGAAGCCTCCTTCCCATGTTTTGCCAGAATGGCATTCGAAGTCTCCTAACTCCCAAAACACCGAATCAGCTGTTGCAATACTCACAGACTCATCAGCGCGAACCATTTCGATATCATCTCCATGCCATTGAATCAAACACTGATGCATGGTCGATGGCACACAACAGTTTGCGTGAATCTAGTCACGACCGAGGAGTAAACTGTATGATCCTTTCCCATCAATGACAAAAAAACGTGGTGAGCAGAGTTTTACTCCCGATTGTTAGTTCGACGTTTATTGCCCCCCGGGTCTTAGATGTATTACCTCCGAAGTCTCTAAGCATCATGTCGGTTTCAAGCAAATCTCCTAGTCCCTTGCCAAGCTTACAAAAAGTTGTGTATGGCATAAGATTGACAGAAGCACCTCCGTCCACTAACATTTTGTTCATCGGCTTCCCATCAACAAAACCTTTCATGTATAAAGCCTTCAAGTGCCAATGCTTGACTGGCTTATCAAATATTGCTTACTGCACAACTGTTAACTTGGCAACCATCTCTTCATACTCTGATTCATCGAAGTCTGAATAAACTTCCTGATTTGTCGGAGCTCTGAATTGTGATGGCAATACAAAAGCCATTTGGATATTAGCCAATGGTTGCTTCTTATTAGCTATTTGCTTGATACGCCACACTTGAGTTTTACTAGATGGCTGAGCCTGTTCTATCTCCTTATTCCTTAGGCGTTGCACCCTTCTCTTCTGGCTTCTTGTTAAACCTCTGGGGCACCATTGGCCTTCCTACCAAACATGTTCCCTCTGGTTGCTTCCTTCTTCATGATCAGCCCAGTCTTGGTCAACAACTCTTTTTCCCAGCCGGTCATGAATACTTTTATTTTTTAAGCGCCAATCCATGTTATTATGATGATATGCATCCTGGGCATGGATAGACTGGCGGTTGATTTGAGATTGCCTAAACCACTACTAAAAAAGTGCACATCTGAGTCGATCAAATAATGTCATAGTAAACGCTAAAAGCGTCATGGAAAGATATCTGTGATGAAGCTATGATGAAATTCTGTTCGTCATCTTTGTAGCGTCACAAATGTTGCACTGTGACGATTTGTCGTGTTTCATCACAGATAAGTTTACATCCATGACGATTTGGGCACCGTCACTGAACTATTTCAGTAGGCGTTGTAGTGGACACGTGTATGACGGTAATGTTGACGCGTTTCATTCGCTTAGGATGACACGTGTCTTAAGCTAAGGTTTACACGTGTGTGACTATGAGTACGGCACATGTCCTAAAATAAGGTTGACACGTGTTTCAATATGAGGTCGACACGTGTATGTTTTGTGAGGTTGACATGTGTATTTCTGAGAGGTTGACATGTGGCATTATCTTAACGCGGGTGATGACGTGGCAGTGCGTGAACGATGACGTTTTTTCGTCATAAATTCTTTGATTGGATAAAATATAGGCTGCAGCCATGCCTAATCACTCATTCCAGAAACAGAACATAATTTACCACATACAACAATTCATACATCATACACAGTTTATACATCACATGTTTAAATGTTCTCACAACCAAAGTTCCCAAACACAGGGCAACCACAAACATAGGGGAACCACAAGTTCCATAGGTTCACATCACTTGAACCACAAGTTCACAAACAAGTTCCACAGACCAAGCAATCATAGAATAAGTTCACAAGCGACAACTGACAGACCATGTTCAGCAACTTATTATGAGTACCAGCAGTAGCGACACGGCCCAGCACAACCATGGACTGTAGAGGAACCTAGGTAGGACAGGAACAAGCTAAGTAGCTCGATTACCTGAGTTGAGGCCCAAGATGCGTTGAAGGATCATATCATTAGCTTCTTGTTTCTTCTTGAACTCCTCCAGCTCTTGCTGGTTCTTGAGCACAACTTCTTGGGTCCTGGCCATGGATTCTTCTGTTTCTGCAGCTTTCTTCTTCAGATGGACCAGTTGTTCTTCAAGATTATCAACCCGTTCCTTCTCCGCCTGTAGCTGTTCCTAAAGTTGTGCCTCTCTTGCAACTGATGCAGTAGACTTGCTTACTAGTGTTTCAATACCAACATTCTTGAGGAATGTACAAGCTACACTGGTTTGTGAGAGAACCTTCGAAACTATCTCAGTACTAGATCTTGGTGTCTCCAAGTCTTGAGTAGGCTGGGCCAACATATCTTCCATGGTACTCTATAGCAAATAGGTGCAACATTAGTAAGTTCATTATGCAGAATCTATTTCACAAGCCGAGTTATGAAAACCATCACAAAACATATTGCTGCATACATTTTAAAGTACATGAACATCAAAGATATGAATATCCTATCCATGTAATAATGTCATCCAGCAAGCATATAGGGACAACTATTTATTTCCTAAGCACGAGATAGGACCATCCCTGCTAGCATATAGGAAAAGTAACAACCAACAATCATATAGGAACATCTTTTCTATGTACCAATCTCACCCAAAGAAGCATATAGGAACATCAACATAGCATTTCACAGTCATATGCACAAACCATGCACTACCTTCTAGAAAGCATGTAGGAACCCAACTTAGCATTTCTCAACCATGCACAACCTTCCAAAGAAGGGAGTAGGAACCCAACTTAGCATCTCACAAGCATATAGGAACACAACTTAACATTTCGAACAATGCACACAACATATGATTCCATATATAGGCATAAACACATGAACAACTTTCTATGTACTCATCCCTCCAAAGAAGCATGTAGAACAACCTTCCATTTCATAAAGAACTAATAGAACCATTGACACACAACATCTAAGCATATGAACATACTTTCCATGTACTAATCCCATCCAAAGAATCATAATTAGCATAAATTCACACATATACTCAATCCCAACAAGCAATGATATGTAGGCACTTAAAACTGCTTTCTTTGACCACATCAGTCATACCTTCTTCTTCTTTGGTATGCAATTCCTTGAAGATCTCAATGCATCCACCTCTCTCATCCTTGTTTTTCTCCTTCTTTACATAATTATAGCGGAAATGCAGCAAAATTAGCTTTTATTTGTAGACAACTTTATAGGAAATAGATATGTATGTTTAAATCAGATACAATGTATTGTCCCAAAGTTTTAGCACTTACAAATGCGCATAAGTGTGTGGGATGTAGCTTGAGATCCCGTAAGCTTGATGGTGTCTAACCTTCTCACGCTTATCTTGTTCTTCCGAAAGCGCTTCCTATAAGACATATATGTAAATGGAAGACAACATAGAGAGAATAGAAAACTTTCTTTACAACATCATGATACCTTTGCTTTTGGAGTAGACCACATCGCCACGAGTGCCTTCCACTCGTCGTCGTCGAAATACTAGGAACAGGGGGAAGTAGTGGGGACTTCATTAGCCGGTATACCATTGAAGTACTTATTCTTCAACAAATATCTCCTTTGGCGTCTGACAAGACCTTGGAGTATATTGTCGCAGAGCTTGAACTGTTGGCTCATCCTTGTCATCAATCGCCAACCTAACTCGCAAAAGTCAATCACCCAAATGAGTTAGCTCTTAGCATTTGGTATAGTTACTTATTGAAGGTACCAAATAGATATGGAAGGTATCAATTTACTTACGATATATCGCCCATGAATTCTTTCGATTGGCTTTCATCTTTCTTGTAATGTTTCCAAGAGTTAGGATAGGCATGCTCTTCCTAGTGATAAGTCCAGCCTCTAAAGCTAGCTTAGCAGCTTGTACAGGCTTCTCTGGCCTTCTCTTCCCTATAGCAATTTCAATTGGCAATCTCTTTCCCATAGATTTAGTCATATTGTCCAGCAATTTGCCTTTTGTTGGTGGTCTTAGCTTTCTTGGAGCACGTTGTCGAGCTACAAAAATGATGCTGTTAGTGTCAGAGTAATCCAAGTAAAGCAAAGAATGTGAGAAAGCATGGTCTATTACTTGCCTTGAGGAATAGCATCTAACTCTTCTGTGACCTCATCTTCATTTGTATTATTTGGGTCATCAAATACAGAAAAGTCTAGAACAGGACTTGGGGGATGTTCTTCTTCCCCTTGTCCCATAGTTGTTGTCTCATTGTTCTCTGGTAGCGGAGTTGACTGTCCCTCAACCATAACTATGGGATGGTTGGTGATGTACTTCTTTCCAGACCTGGTTGCAACTCCAGGAGTTGTCTCACTGCCGCCAATTGCCCTGACTCTTTTCGTGCCACCTGGAGGCATCTTGGTCTTCTTCTTCCACTTTGTGCCCCGCTTGTTGCTTTTCTCAGTTTCCTAATACAGAAGGGTAAACAAATATGTTATTAGAACCTACATTAAAATGTACATCGCACAATGTAATGTAAAAAAAACCACCACAACTGTTTCATCTTCCTCTTCCTAGCCGCCCTCAGCTCTAGGAAGATACTCCGATGAATCTGACCCCTCCCCATGACCATTCTTATTTCTTGGCTTGTCCGGGTTCTGAGAACTTGCATTTGCCATGCTTTCATTAATAGAAGCGGCCAAGGTACGAATACCCAAGGATTCCATGAACATTTTGTTCTCCACGATTTGCAAGTCCCTCAGCCTTTCATAGTACCCTATTTATTTGTAAATGAATTTTAGTCCAATTGATCCCTACACCATAAAACCTAAAAAATAAACCCTAACATCTTACCCGTCATCCGTAAAACCTAAACCCTGCCTAGTGAACACAGTAATCCGTAAAACCTAAACCCTACCTAGTGAACAAAACCATACACCTAAAAGGGGAAGCATTCGGCAGAACCTGGGCTCGGGGGGCAGAGGAGTGTTGCGGTTCGTTTAGGCATTGTTGATGAGAGTTGTATCTCCGCTGGGGTGGATGATCTCCGGCGATGTAGTCGTGTGGCTCCTCCGTCTCCAGGTCGCAGGTCACGTCTCTGTGGCGAATCTGGGCAGGGTGAAATGGGCAGCGGCGGATCTAGGCGGTAAGAGGGTGGTGGTGGGCGGGCTCTAGGTGGGTAGCGGTGTAGGGGATCTTGGAGGGCGGCGGTGGAGGCGAACTAGGGCGGCGGTGGAGTGGATCTTGACGGGTGGCGGCGGAGGGGATGCAGGAGGAGTGAAATGAGACCGAGTGGAGTGGATTCACAAATATATAGTCCGTTGTATATTTACTATTTTACCCATGTTGTAGTCAATCAAGAGTCGACGTGCTTGAGGGCAGTTAGGGGATTTTCTCAGCTACCAAAGTTTGGGCGGGGGATTCGGGTCGACCACCGGGGCATTTAGGCGGGAGGAGTGAAAAGAATTTTCTTTTTTTTTGTCAGGAAAAAATGGTTCTTTCTTTAGCTTTTGGGGACTATTTTTGTGTTGAAAAATGATATTTGTTTCTCTAAAATTGATATCAATTTCCATTTGCCTGTGATTCAGACTTTTATGTTTATAATGATGTTTTATGTACCATAGTAATCCAAAATGATATTTTTTAGTCTTTGTAACCTTCTTTGATACATCAAAATTAGTCATTATATAATATATATGAAAACATTCTTTGATTTTTCAAAGTAAATGTGAAAGATGATAATCTGTGGGCTCTAAAATTATAGAGACATGTTGGTCTTATTTTGTGTGCACTATATACATTATAGGATGATATATATCCAAGTACTATGTGCACTACACTACTTATTTAGTGAGTGCATTAATGAATTCAAACACTTAACAATGTTCTAACAACACACATGTATGTGGCATTGGTTTACTTCATAAGATCATATACATCGATCCATGTATGTGTGCTTGGTTATACACATAAGATCTATATGTCTCCTATCATAGCTATGTACACTTAAACTATGCACTACTTAAGATAGTATACATGATTTGATATAGAAACACACATAAATAGGTAGGCATTACATAAGATCACATAAGATTAAATGAACACACTTCACTTGATATGAACACACTTCACTTGATATATGAACACACATAGCTTATGCATGAACACACATATCTTATCCATTGATATATATGAACCGTTTTGAACTTTAGTGATCAAGGTACAATTACTTTACTTGAATGTTGCACTTAACATTGCAATAAAAAATTAGGTTCAAATCTGCATCAAAATACACTGAAATCGTGGATTTGACCATGATTTGACCATCATGGGCCCACCCGTCAGCCTCTTACCCGAGGTGAACCGAGTCCAACTAGTTCAAGAGCTGATCGGGTTGGCCTACCCGTCAGCCACCCAACGGCCATAGCCCAAATCTCCCAAATTGAACACAATCCGCCCAAATCCCCCAAATCTGCTGCACCCGCCGTCGTGCGTCCACTCCACCAGCGAGCCCCCGCCGACACGCGTCCACTCCACCGGTGAGCCCCTGCCGTGGTGGGTCCACACCACCGTCCATCCCTGCCGCCGTGCTCCCACCCAGCGGCCAGCCCCGCCGTCGTGCTCCAAACCACCTCGGTTAGGGTTCGAGCGCCATGGCAACCAACTCTGGGTCAAGCTCATCCTAAAACTCCATTGCACGCTATGGAGAGCCGTCCCCGAACGCCTCCCCAATTCCATATCGCCATCTGCCCTACTCGTACACGCCAGCAGTCAATTGCTTCTGCGATGAGAGGGCACCCAAGTGGGTATCATGGAGTGATGCGAATCTAGGAAGGAGGTATCGCTGCTGCTACAAATATCAGGTGAGTTCAATTTACATTGAGTTCAATTTGCAATGAGCTCATTTATATAGAGTCTGTCTAACAAAGTGCAATTTTCTTGTGGATGCAAGGATGGTGGTTGTAATTTCTGGGAGTGGCTGGATCCAAAGCCAACTGAGCATCAGATCAAAATACTTGTTGATCTGTGAGATGCAGTCAAGGCCCTTCGTAAGAAGAGCAAATCTCTTGAAGTGGAGAACAGTGAACTAGCATATTTGGTGGATGAAGCACATGCCAAGT